CCATCCATCCATCCATCCATCCATCCATCCACCCATTCATCTACTCACCCACCCACGTATCCAGCTACCCATGAACTCACGTATCAGATATCCACATAGCTAGGCTGGGCATTGGTAGAAAGAAATGAATAAATCTGCCTGCCTGCCATGGAGGCCAGTCCCTTGCTTAGGGTCAGAACCTAGTGAGGTACCAGGTCCTTTCAAAAGTAGCTCTGTGTGGACTCAGTAACCACCCACTTTAATTTTTATCTGTATTAGCATGTTTTCTGTACTTCATTTTTGCTATGAGGAAACTTGACTAAACCCTTCCTGCAAAATCACTGCACCCACTGACTTCTTATACTCCTCACCACTGAGTCCGCTTGGCTGGGGCCTGCAGAGAGGGTCCGGCCGTGCCAGGACTCCCGGCTCCAGCTAGCACAGCTGCATTCAGAGAGAACCAGAGGGGGATCGAGTTATTTCTACACAACCCTCATGGCTTCCCCATGAAGGCAGGGCCCCTTTGCGAGGCATGGGGGAAACCTGCCCAGGCCCCCTGGCCTTTCCAGCCTCAGGCCCAGCTCCTAAGCTTTAGCCTCATGGAACCACCTAAGGTTCCTGAATGCACAGATCACGCTTACTTCTGGACTTTTGCACATGCCGTAATCTCCGCCCGGAGCGCTCTTCCTTTGCCCTCACCTGTTAAGCCTTGCCCTTCCCTTAGGGGGCTGCTCAGGAACACTTCCTGCTGTGCCTGGTTGGGGTGTGGGGCCTGTCTGCATTCGGCAGCCTGACTGTGTCCTCCCACAGCCTTGGGGTTTCCTCTGTGCCCCCTGGATGTGAATTCCATGAACAGGGACTCCTGTTTTTACTCATTGCCTGTCTATCAGCCAGCACAGAGTAGGCACCCTATGAATACATGTTAATGGAATGAAGACACAACCCAGTCGATAGACAAAAGCCCCCGGATCCAACCTTTCTGGGATGAAGAAAAGACCACACAAAATAGAACAGTACAAAAGCAAGCCATAGACATGTATGTTCGTATATTTGTTTACATATGTCTAGCCCCTCCACTCCAGTGTTCTAGAACATTCTCTCCAACTTCTGTGTATGGGGCTAGCGTTGTTATCCTCACCCCTCTTCCACCCCCCAACCCAGGAAGGCCCCCAGGGTGGGCTCTTTGTACAGAACGCCACAGTCCTGACCGGAAAGCCAACCCCCATTCTCTGTGACCACCGGCCACTGGGCGAAAGGCTGATCTGTCAAACACACCCCAGACAGACCAGTCCTGGAAAGCTGGCAGGTAGAATCGAAAGGTAAGCTGACTTTGATGCAGAACAAAACACATGCAGAGCCTGTAGTTTTAAATGGTTGGCACCTCCAGCCACACCTATGAACCCTACGGAGTTCACCCCAGCTCTCGTGCACCTCTGTCCTGCCTCTGGTCCCCGCGCCCAGAGGCTCCCACGCAGCCCTGCTGGAGGCATCGTCCTTGTGCTCCGACCCCACGGCCGCCCCGCTGCCCGATGATAACCCTCTTGGCTATTTAAGGCCATTCCAGGCAAAGACAAATTAAAAATCTAACTTATTAGCACACATCTGCCATGCATCTTCATTTGCTCAACGCCAGTTTTAAGTGCAAAAACATCAGTGCATTTAACTCATAGGTGAAATCATCAAAATGACATAATTCAAGTTTCATAGCTAGTGTGTGCAGATGTATCTGGTTCGTATTAGGCAGTGGGAAACACTGCAGAAAACAAAAGCATCTGTTTTTTGTTTAACTTTGGGCTCTGGGAATTTCCCCCACGGTTTCTGTGCAACTGGGCTTTCCCAAAGCACTCCCCCTCCCCCACCCCTGATTGGGGGTGGGGGTGGGTGAGATCCTTGCTATCCCTGGTATGCAGACCTCAGAAGGTGGGCTGTGAGAGGTATTGCAAGGGGTGACGGAGGCAGCATGAAGAGGCCAGTCCCTCCTCCAACCTTCTGTCCATCTCCTGGGATGCTGTTCTGGGAGGTGGGTGGTGGGGCCTGGTCCCCTTGGACCCGGCAGTCTGTCGGGCACCCCGGGTTTGGCGGGAAGGAGCCTTCGGTCTGCCCATCGGCCTGGCCACACTTCCTAACTCTGTCCTTGGCCCTGGGGCTGTCGCCAGCAGGTCTTGAGAGGTGGTTACTCACTTCCTGCCGCTGGGGCTGGGAAACCCTCAGGGTGTGGAGGGAGGCTGCTTCCTGGCACCCTGCGGGCCCTCTTCTCCTGGGACTGATGGCTGAGCCAGGATCCCCACGGAGCTGTCTCTGCGCGGGGGTCCTCTATCTCCCATGGGACCTGGGGCCCCTCCGCTCATGGCCTCCACCTGGGCACCTGTCTGGTTCATGCCCTGGATTCCGCCAGGCTGGCACCACAGCCAGGCCTCTCCACTCTCCCTCCCACCCTCTCCTCCTCCTCTTCGTCTTCATCGGGAACCTGAAGCCAGGAGGGGGAGTCCAGTGAGCGGTGGAGTCAGGCTTTGGTGGCCTCTGCCTGCGGAAGCTTCTCCTCCAAGGACTTGAGGGAGGCGGGGGGGGGGGGGGAAGGCTGGGGTGATTGGCCGAAACGTTTGGGGATGTGCGGGGAGGAGAGCCGGAAGGACATCATCGCATTGCCCTCCTCACCCCTATTCGCCCTCCCAAATCCCCAATTTCATCCCCTTGGCCACGGGAAGTGACACCGTGGGCCCCGTGCTCAGGGGAGATTCCCTAGGGAGGACTCCCCATCCTGGATGCGCCCTCCTGTCCCACGCGTCTTCCAGTGGCCCCTTCACGGCCCAGGTCTTCAGCCCCTGTGGACCCCAGCTGGGGATCACGCTGTGTTCTCCCGGCTGCCCCTCCCTGGACTGCCTTCCCATCGCTCTCTGGCTGGTGCGGTGCACCTGCTCCAGAGGCCCCCTTTCGCTCTGAGCTTGGGGTTCCACAGCCCTCACCTTCTGTCCGTGCTCTCCAATGCCCCAGGGCCGTCTTCCCTCTGGGCCTCCCAGACCCGGTCACTCGTCGCTGGGGTGGCTTGTGCCCATGATTCTCGATTCTAACTGCTCTGTGCATCCGTTTCCTCTCCTACCACAGAGGCGATGATCCCGCCTGGCGGGGCCTGAGACTCAGGTGAGGCGATGGGTACGTGGCGCTGGTCGAGCAGCAGACAGAGGGAGGGGTCCACAGCAGGAGCGCAGACCTGACTTCCAGCCCTGCGCCGTCACAGGTGCGCTAGCATGGGCGGGATCCCGGCGTCC